CTGTTAGCAGCATGGAACTGTTAGCAGTGTGTTACTGTTAGCAGCATGGAACTGTTAGCAGCATGGTACTGTTAGCAGCATGGAACTGTTAGCAGCATGGTACTGTTAGCAGTGTGGTACTCTTAGCAGCATGGAACTTTTAGCAGCATGGAACTGTTAGCAGCATGGTCCTGTTAGCAGCCTGGAACTGTTAGAAGCATGGAACTTTTAGCAGCATGGAACTGTTAGCAGCATGGTCCTGTTAGCAGCATGGAACTTTTAGCAGCATGGTCCTGTTAGCAGCATGGTACTGTTCACAGCATGGAACTGTTAGCAGCGTGGTACTGTTAGCAGCATGGTACTGTTAGCAGCATGGTACTGTTAGCAGCATGGTACTGTTAGCAGTGTGGTCCTGTAAGCAGTGTGTTCCTGTTAGCCGTGTGATCCTGTTAGCAGCATGGAACTGTTAGCAGTGCGGTCCTGTTAGCAGTGCGGTCCTGTTAGCAGTGCTGTCCTGTTCTATATCAGTGGATTTTTGAAAACCTAGATAAAATAATAGCTAGCATTATTTAAACATGTTGTATCTTTAGTTGTAGCAGTCTTCTGCATCTCAAGTTGAACATGTTCATGACAGAAAGTCCATGCTATGCTGAAAATAAGAGAAAAACCCCAAAGCAGTTTTATTGTGAATGACGCTTGCGCTGCATATGTGTGACCCGTCACGTCCAGCCGATTAAGTCGCAAAGCAGCGCAGTGAGATTTTGGCAGCTATATTTCATTGGATGAAAGACTTGTGGTTATTGGATCATTGAAGGAAATGTCAGAAATGTAATCCTAAAGAACATTTTGAAGAACGTTTCTGAGCAGAACCAACAACTGATGAGGATTTTGAACAGCAACGCTCTTAATTTTTGCAACTTCCCCTGCACGCTATCAACACCATTTTCAACTGGGGAATCCTGACATCCAAATGTGGTCCTCTTTCAAATGACGTCAAGAAATCCTCATTACAATGTGCTAAAATAGGATGCAGACCCATTGTCCAGGAGATATCCTGATTGGTACGACCAAGCCTGGAACTGCGCCTGATATCAGGATGTTGATCAAAATCTGGTTTTAAAAGCCAGGAATCTGAAAATGTGCTGAGTTTAGTTTGACCAGATCCCTGATTTGATGTGCAGGGTTGCATATTGAACAAGGACACAAGAAGGCTCTAACAGAATATGTTGAAAATCTAAAACAGACCTCGTTGATTTGTGGCTTTCTGTAGTGTGGCACCCTGGAGGAAGACGGCCCCGGTGAAAACCTGACAGAGCGAAGCCTTCAGGACGCGCAGCGGCTCTTCCTCATGAGCGACGTCGTCCAGCCTGTCTCCATCAACCCCCTGCTGACCCAGGACAACCTGCGCTTCTCCAAGCTGGTGGTGGACATCGTGCAGGGCCGGAACAACCTCTACCACGTCATGTACATCGGCACCGGTGAGACTCCCCAACTAAACAACAAAGCATTCATCGATAAGAGCGCCTTTCTTTAATTTCTTCTCGTTCAATCAGAGTATGGCAGCATCCTAAAGGTTCTCGCCACAACCAACAAGAGCCTTCATGGCTGCTACCTGGAGGAGCTGCGGATCCTTCCTGAGGGGATGACGGGAACCATAAAAAGTCTGAAAATCCTCCACAAAGACAGGTCGCTGTTTGTGGGGCTCGATGACAAACTGGTGAAGATCCCGTTAGAACGCTGCTCCAGATACCCAACTGAAGGGTATGAGCCTCGCCCCTTTCACTCAGGATCACAGTACACCACCTATAAGAGTTCTTAACTTAGTTAATTTATGCAGGGCTATTAAGGAAAGTGTGCAATGTAGGACTGCAAGATATACTTAACCGTGTCATCTTGTTTTCTGGACTGTAGTGACTGCATGGAGGCTCGGGACCCCTACTGCGGGTGGGACCACAAACTGAAGCGCTGCACCACCATTGAAGGCAGCTCCAACGTGAACCATTGGACCCAAAACATCACCGAGTGCCCGGTAAGACAGAAGCTGTAGATTTTACGCTTCATTTGCGCTCACGAGAAGAGTTTTAAAGTCTCGTTGCCTAATCTTCCCTGGAGGTGAGGAACCTGACGCAGGACGGCGGATTCGGTCCGTGGGCACCGTGGCAGCCTTGTAACCACGATGACGGCGAGGGGTTTTTCAGCAGCTGCGTGTGTCGATCCCGCTCCTGCAATGGACCTGTGGCCAGATGTGGAGGAGCTGAATGCAAAGGTCCAACTATCCAGGTGGCAAACTGTTCCAGGTATATCTACTCACCCCACCCATGTTCTGATTCACCTTTGATCTTAGTCTAGACTGAAAGATCCTGAGCTGCCGATGTTGTCTCGGATGAACTCGCATGTTTGTTTCCCGATGTAACCCTCACAGTTTACCCGGGCTTGGGACCGGCACCATAGCTACCCTGACTTGTTGCTAGTGGCGGCCTAGCAGTCCTTAAAGGAGTGCATATCGCCCGCTGCCTTTCACGCCAGAGTTTGAGACAAAGGTCGTCTTATGAGGAGATTTGAAGGAGTCATAGCAGTTTTTGGTTGAACGTTGAAAACGTGTCATTGGTGCTCACAAAGTGCTGTGTTGTCAGTGACTCTCAGCCACCACCGCACCTGATTTTAGGTCAATATCAACGTTTCCTTTTGGCTTGGGAGGGGGTTGGGCTAAACAAGACAAATGACTCAAGTTTATGTTTTGCTTTTAATAGTGTTACGTCCACCAGGAACACAACATATTAAAAGGAGAACACGAAAATCTGCTGTTTCCTGTAAAAAAAAAAAGATTATTAGGAACCCCCAAAGTCCCATGGCCACCAAAAAGGACACAAAACCCAATGGAACAACTTAAAGCTGGACCTGGTGAGCCGGCCAAACCTAACAAAAAGGTACAGCCTCGGGCCAACCCTTTGCAGGGCCGTCAAAGCCGCTGCTGATACCCGACTAAAGCTACAAAAGACCTCAAAAACACCTGTTACAAAAGAAAGAGCTAAAACAGGACTACCGGTCCCACCAGGCCAGAATCACTACAAAAAGTTCACAGAAATTACCTTTAGGCTGAAGCCACCAGTTTAGGTGGGTTGAGACGTTTTTGAAAGATTTAATAAATGATCAAATATGAAGATAAATGTGCTTTTTACATTGATTAAACTGATTCAGTCAGTTTTGTTGTTTAGTTTGGATAATTATCAATCATGCGTTGTTAATGTTCAAGTACTTTCAGCAACAAGAAAGTCCATAAATCGTAATTCATAATGTGAATGGTTACGAGTCAAAATGTGATTACAGTAACACAACTCGGGATGTTTTAACCTTTAGATAACTTTGTTCTATTCAAGAGAGGCTGAAATATTTTATTAGACTTCATATTTTTTAAAGTGGACTTCAACATGATAAAAGTCGACATCGACTAGTCGCTGCAACATCACAGGAACTCATATTTTATTTACCATAAAAAAGAACAACAAAATATCGGGAGCGTATATTTATGCTCCTACCATTTATCAAACGTCAAATAAGACGCAAGAAAACCAAAACTACTATTAAGCTGCAAAAGTGAAAGAAACATGCGGCACATAAAAAAACGAAACAAAAAGCAGGAGGCGGAGTCTAGCACCGTGGATTAAATAAGATGAAACTAAACCAGCGTGGCAGGTGGACTCCACCACGGCCCACTGACAGGTCCAGTTAAGCTTCAGGTGGGTCACTGGCAGTGAGTCGTCTGGTCTTTTTTACTTCTTTCAACCAGCCGGTCAGCGCTCTGTCAAACGGAGGCGCGCGTCCGCTGACGCAATCCAAGCCTGACATCGACCCGGCTCGCCCATTCAGCACATTATTTTGGCCCGGGTTACAAATGACAGCTCTAGCCAGCGCCTGGCGACACAATCACGTGACCGCGACTAGTTGACGTGAAATTTCAAAACTCGTGAGATGTCGTAGAATCGACCGGTCGACTAGTCGACCCAACCTCTAGATTATACCACGTAGTCCTTTGCGTGACACCAAATAACTTAATATTGCCATATTTTAATTTGCTAGACAAACACATTTCTCCCCTAAATGAATATTTTTTGGTATTTTTTAATATATTGTAAAAATTTCAGCTCGTAGTAACCGTTGCAGTATGGTTGTAAATGCAAGCAAGCTTAGCTCATCCAAAGAGTCAAAACCTTGTTTCTGTTGCTATAATCCCGTGTACAAATACAAATATACATATTCCAGTGTTAATATTCTTTAAAGCCCAGGACTAAAGCAGCAGAAGCACTAAGTTGCACCAAGAGACACTCGAACAGGCTGCTCGCTCCCACGCTGTGACGCTGATCCCCCGGCACTTTCTCCTTGCTAGAAGTTTATTCTTGTGCGCAAGTCGGATGTTAAGTTTTGTTACAAAAACCCTGGAGAGAGGTGGCACGGTGGCTCAGTTGGTAGAGCTGTTGCCTCTCAGCGAGAAGGTCACGGGTGGAGTTTACATGTTCTCTCCGTGATGCCTGGGTTTTCTCAGAGTCCTCCGATTTCCTCCCACAGACCAAAAACCTGCATGTTAGACTGACTGGTAACTCTAAATTGTCTCTATATGTCCCTGTGATGGACTGGAGACCTGTCCAGGGTGTCCCTCACCTCTTGTACAATGATAGCTGGACATGGGCACCATTGACCCCCACGACCCGAAAAGGAAGAAGCGGGTAAAGATAAAGGACGGATGAAGGATGTCGCAGCAGGGGGTGGTGTATCGGCTGTGGCCTCTCCCCTGGCCACACAGTGACAAGCGTATACTAACTCATCACATACCGGGATGTTTGGGGGGGGGGGGGGTCCGTTGGGAGGGCGAGCCGCCCTTCTTGGATATTGTTGGGGAAACGCTGACTATCCATAAAAACGAGCCATTTCTGCGCTGACTGTTGCAAATGGACCGTAGCATCCTTCTTGAACTTCAGACGACTCAGTTGTAGACGCTCAACAAACAGTTTGTTTACTTTTCTGCAGGCTTCATTGGAATTTCAGATATTTTGCTAACAGACAGACACGAGCACAGGTGAAACACTGCAGGTGATGAAACAGTCATGACTTAGTGCTTTTGTAGTAACTACCCCTAAAGATACATTATCAACAAATAAATTATGACTTTGGACAGTTTATTGTCAGCAAGTTGATGACATCATAACGACCTTTGACCTTTGTTTTCTCATAATCAAACCCTGTCGATGTTTCTCAGGAACGGTGGATGGACCCCCTGGTCGTCCTGGGGTCAGTGCAGCAGCAGCTGCGGCATCGGGTTCGAGGTGAGGCAGCGCTCCTGCAACAACCCCTCCCCTCGCCACGGAGGGCGAATCTGCGTGGGCCAGGGTCGGGAGGAGAGGTGAGGAGGGCCGAGGTTCTCGCAGAGCTCGAGGTCGCCGTCCGTACTTTACAGCAGCGCTGCTGATTGTTTGCAGGTTGTGCAACGAGAAGAAGCCTTGTCCCCTGCCCGTGCTGTGGACCTCGTGGAGCCCCTGGACTCACTGCAGCGCCGAATGTGGAGGGGGGGTCCAGTCCAGGACCAGAACCTGCGAGAATGGGAACAGCTGCCCGGGCTGTGCAACGGTACCAAAGCACTTCTATTGAACAAAATCAAACACGTTTGTGAGCCGTCCAAGAGGCAAACGTGTGCAAGAAAATAAAAAATAAAAATGTTGTGATGCTGCAGGTTATTCTGAAACAAAGTCTGCGTTTTCCGTCATTTTAAAAGGTTTCTTCATCCTGTCCTCCAGGAGTTTAGGGTCTGTAACCTGGAGAGCTGCCCTGAGGTGCGCCGCAACACCCCCTGGACCCCCTGGGTGCCGGTCAACACGAGCCAGGACGGCTCCCGGCAGGAGCAGCGGTTCAGGTACACGTGTCGGGCGCCGCTGCACGACCCCCAGCAGCTGCAGCTGGGCAAGAAGAAACTGGAGACCCGCTTCTGTCCAAACGATGGGTCTGGAGCTTGTCAAACGGACCGTGAGTTCCAACGAAACCTGGACAGACGGGTTTTATCGTTACCATGGAAACGGGTGATGCTCATTTTTGAGGTTTAGGTCTGTTACTGTTGTGAGACGCTTGGCTGAGCTCCACAGACCCGTCTGAGACAGTCCTCCCTGAGGGGACACTGCAAGTAATGATGTCCTGAGAGCGCACGCTGTAGCTGCACTCACACAGAGACATGTAGGGCGTAGTTTGCCACGTTTAGGTCTTAGCTAGCTTTTTGGTTATTTTAGCATTGATTTAGCCTTTTTACACATTTGGCCTTTTGCTACCCTTGTTCTAATTTAGCTTTTAGATCATCTTTTGCTAATGTTATCTAGCTGTTTGCTACATTTAGCTAACTTTGCCTACTTTCAGCTTTTAGATAATGTTTTGCTACTTTTAGCTTGTAGCTTTTCTAACTTTTTCTGGTAAATGGATGGAAATTAAAAACAACAAAAACAAGATGGCTCTTTTTTTAAACCCGCGGGGCGTTCAGAGGTTTAGATTTTCTGAGCAGTTCGGCGAGTTGTGTTCAAGTTTTGGATCTTCTCAGTTACACTAAATATGTTTTTGTTTTCTGTATTTTTAGCGCTGGTTGAGAATTTGATCAAGACCAGCGGCAGAACGTTTTCCCCGCCACAAGGAGCCCAATGGGGCTCCTGGGAAACGTGGTCCAGCTGTTCCCAGGTGTGTTCCAGAGGTTTTCGATTCAGAAAGCGCAGCTGCTCTACGCCGGACGGCAGGACCAACCCTGCGGTCTGCACAGGGTCCCCGGTGGAGTATCAGGACTGTAACCTCCATCCCTGCAAAGGTACCAGCACGGTTCTGGCTGCGGCTGCGGCTGCGGCTGCGGCGGCGGCAGCTGCAGCGGCGGCGCCTTACGTTACGATGTTTGTTTGCAGTGAACGGAGGCTGGTCGTGCTGGTCCGCCTGGTCCCAGTGCTCATCGAGCTGCGGGGGCGGCCATTACCAGAGGACTCGGACCTGCAGCAGCCCGGTGCCCGCCAACGGAGGAGACATCTGCATCGGGCTGCACACCGAGGAGGCCCTCTGTAACACACACACATGTGAAGGTGAGGCGAAGGTCATTTACTGAGGGAGATATTTATTTATTTTATTTTAACGTTAATTTTTAACCACAGCTGAAAAATTCATTCCTCGTCATCTGAGTCGAGTTTAGAGCCGTCACTCATCGACCAAATCCAACTGGAAGAAAAGTTTGTTTTCCTAAAAGAACGCTGAGCGACTGCTGGAGAAGCTGAAACTGAGACGCTAAAGTCGAAACGTACAAAAGCTACAAGTAGCTAAATGTAGCAAAAAGCTAGCTTGAATTACCAAAAGGCTATCTAAAATCTACTGTAGCAAAGGGGTAGCTAGAAGCTAAAGATGTAAAAAGGCTAGCTGATGCTAAAAGTACAAAAAGCTAGTTAAAAGTCTAAAGGTGGCAAAACACCAGCTAAAAGCTGAAAGTCACAGAAAACTAGCTTAAAGTAGCAAAACTACAACGTCTAGATAAAAGCAGCATAAGGATTAGCTAAAAGTAACCAAAGTCTGGCCACGAGCTAAACGTAAAGAATAGCAAGTTTAAAGTTTAACATAGCAAAAGGCCAGCTAAAAGCTATATGTATCAAAAAGCTAAATAAAAACAGCAATAAGCTTAGCTCAGAGTAGCAAAAGGCTAAATAAAGGCTAAAAGTAGTAAAACTCAAGCTAAAAACAACAAAAGGCTAAAATAAAGGCCAGCTAAAATATAAAATAGAAATATTCCAACTAAAAGCTAAGAGTAGCTAAAAGCTAACAATAGCATAAAAACTAAGCTAAAAGAAGCTGAGCAATGTTTTTGAAGGGTTTAAAAAATCTCAATGTATTTTATGTAAAAAATAAGTTTAATAATTTTAAAACTTGTAAAAATGAAATGTCCCAGTGCTCGTCTCCTGAACGAGCCGAACGTTTATATTTATGAAGAGCTAAAATTGCACACAGTCTTTAGATTGTAAAAACTTTATTAAAAAACCAACAACTAACAGCTGAAGTGACACGTGACGACGTGAACAAAACAACGAGCTTCTCAAACAACAAAAACCTGAAGACGTCCTGCAGGACAGCGTCTCAGCTCTCGTCTCCTCTCAGGCTGGACCGAATGGACGGACTGGGGGGACTGTGACGAGGACGGCCTGCAGCATCGCACTCGGTGCTGCGGGGACGACCAGGAACCGGGGGGCAACCTCACCCAGTCCAGACCCTGCCAGCCTCATGAGGTGCCAGGTAAACACGCTGACACCTGCACAGGTGTACTCTGAAACGTGCACGGTGAACACGTGCGCGCTCTGCGTTAGTGCACACGAGACGCGAGTGATGCGTCTGTCGTGAGAACAAGGAGACAAGTGAACCAGTTTGGCTGTTTTCATGTGTAATCTGACTGAAAATGTCAAAGTTTGTTGTGAAGTTCTGCGTCGTTTTTCTCTTTTGATGCAGTTCTTTTACCGGAGCACGAGAACCAGAGCTGCGCAAGTGAGTCTTTTTCAAACACAAATTTCATCCACGAATCTTCCTTTAACCTTGTGACCTTTCATGTTCCTTAAGGGAAAAACTGACCACCTCATTTAACTGTATTATTATTATCATTATTAATAAATTACTAATTTTTAATGATTTTTCCACAAAAAACTAGTCGGTCTTTTAGATCTATCTCAGCCTGAAATAAAAATATCAACCTTTTATTAAAATAAACTTCATATTTCAGATTTTTTTAATTGACTAAATGTTTATTACATGACATTTAGCAAACATTTTATTTTCCCTCATTAGTACGCCCAAAATGATTGACAAGTGACCACAAAAATCCAGTCCGGAGTTTTGTGAAGACCCTCCAGATCTTCAGATCCGGTAGATGAAGACGAGTCCTTGTTTTTGGTCAAACCCAGTCGTATCTTTCCCAGGACATCTTTGTAAAAGAGATGAATAATCTTAATGGATTTCTTTCCTGGTAAAATAAAGGTTTTAATTAAAAAATGTTCGGGGCTTCGTGGAGGCTGACAGACAACGCTTCGCCCACACGTCTGGTTTACGATGTCTTCCGTATTACCGCAGCCTTCACGCTGTTCCAGCTGGCGGCCGTGGGCTCGGCCTGCTTCTTCGCCGCAGCTCTTCTTTCCGGACTGGCCTTCTCCTACTGCCACCGCCTGAACCACGCGTCGGCAGAGTCCGCGGTCATCCACCCCAGCACGCCCAACCACCTCACCTTCAACAAGCCGGGCAACGCCACGCCAAAGAACGAGAAATACATCCCCATGGAGTTCAAGGTTGGCTGCGTTACATTTAAAATGTCTCTGTAGTTTCTCCGTTTAAACGTCTCTCTGATCGGCAGACGCTCAACAAGAACAACCTTCACGCCAACGATGAGACGTGCAACCACTTCTCCTCCCATGTGGCCTCCAGCAACATGTTCACCACCACCTACTACCCTCCCCGTGTGACCAAGTACGACTTCCACCCCGACTCCCCGTGCAGGTCCTACATGCACAGCTGAGAGGACGCCTCCTTCTCCTCGTCTCCGTGAAGGCGTTCCTGGTTCAGCCTCTTGGAAGAAATGGTCTACAGTCCAATTTTCTGCTTGGTTCTACCGGGAACATGAAGGCTCAGATCACCCAAACAGTGTTCTCAAGTTTGAGTTGGTTCCATTTTCTCAGGACATCAGAACGACTCGTTTCAGGATTTTTATGTTGCTTGATCAAGTTTTTTAAAGTCTGCAGATTCAGGATGACGCCATCATTGAGACCTGTTGGTAAAATCTGTCATCTTGTTCTGGGTAGTAAATGTTCATAACAACAGCCGATGCCTTGAAAATGTTTTCAGGCCCTCAAACTCGTCAAACGTGGGACTAAAAACGTCCCGTAGTTAAAATATTTTACTGATTTATGTGACAGGCCAACATAAAGTGGATCGTCATTACGCAGAGAGAACGATTCGTGGTTTTCAAACTGTTACAAATGAAAGGTTGGCGTACATTTATTGGCACCCCCCACCCCTTGAGTTAGTACTTTGTAAAACCATATTGCTGCAGATAAACTGCCAGCGTATTGGAGTTCATCTCTTCCAGTTAAACCTGGTCTTCCTCACACAACAGTTTGAGCCCAGTCAGGCTGGCTGCAGAGCGTCTGAACAGGACTCTGACTGTGCTGTTTCAACACCTGGATAGACTCTGAGCTCCATGGTGTCCAGTCCTGGTCCTGGAGGACCATTGTCCTCCACGTTTTACTTGTTTCTCTGCTCCAAAGCACCTGATTTGAATCAATGGGTGATTAACAGGTTTTTGCAGAAGGTGATGTAATTTAACCATTGAACCAGGTGTCTCTGAGCAGGGATACAAGTAGGACATGCAGGATAGTGCCCCCTCCAGCACCAGGATTGGACACGCTGGTCTAAACCAGTCCACTGTAGCTCTGGTTGGATGTCAACCTTTGCCCCAGTCTCAAGTCTCCTGCAGGCTCTAACAGGTTTCCTTTCAGAATTGGTTTGTATTTTCTTCTGACCATTGTTCCATCAACTCCGACAAGCTTCCATGTTCCTCCTGAAAGAAAGCATCCCCACAGCGTGATGCTGCCACCACCATGTTTCACAGTGGAGATGGTGTGTTCAGGGTGATGTGCAGTGTTAGTCTTCATTGTGGTCTCCTCTGAGCAGGGCACCTTCTTGTTGTGCCCCCTACATGGCTCTTATTGGTTTCTTTCAACGACAGCTTCGTAAAGGCTAGATTTGTGTGCCAGGAAAACTTCCAAAGGGCGGCTTCCAGGAGACCAGACTCCTTTTGATGCAGAGGAGCAGCGGCTCTACTCTGAGCTCCCCTCGGATGACGGAGCTCCTCACATTATCTCTAACACTGAACCCGGCCACCCTACAATGGAAGCTCATTTTATCTGCAACCAGGATCTCGTTCTTTCGGTCGTGATCCAAACCTCATGACCACAGGTGGGGTTGGAACATAGACTGACCAGTAAATCCAAAGCTTTGGTTTTTGACTCAACTCTTTGTTCACGACGATCAGTTCAGTTTATTTCTATAGCGCCAAATCACAACAAAGTTGTGTCAGGGCACTTTACAGGAACATTCACATACATAGAAAAGACAACTAGTAAAGTTCTCTATCTAAGACTGAAGCAACATGCTCATTACTGAGGACGAGGCCCCAATCCGTTGAACCATCTCTCACTCCACCACTCAGGAACAAGACGCTCAGATACTTGAACTCTCCACCTGAGGCAAATAACCTCCTCCACCTCGAGAAGACATTCTCTAGAGCCCATTCTATCTGAGGCATTGGCCCCTTGGTAAAGTCTAAGAGCGATTCAAAACCGTTGATGGATAAAAAAACATTTACACCAGGAAGCCTCTCTTTCAGAAGGGGAACTGGAGCCCTGGAGCCAGGCCTGGTGAGGGGGGAGCCTTGGTTCCTGGGTTTCAGTTGTGCCAAGCTTGAAACCGAGACAGGATGCCACCTCCACACTGACCCACCACCTGCGAGGAGAACCATCAAGGGCAGGCACCATGGAAGCCGGGCGGCAGGCAAGGCAGGGTCTTTGGCTGTGCCAATTCCAGGCGGCACAATATTTCTCCACTTTGCAATCATACACCACTTTGTGTTGGTCCATCCCATCAAACCCCAAGTTGTTGTTTGACAAAACACAGAAAACTTTGAGCGATGTGAAAACTCTTTGAAGGCATTGTAAAAATCGACGATTGAACATTTATAGACATTTTTGCTGATTTATGTCAAATCTTCACAAAGTTTGGGAGTTTTGTTTAGTGCCTTTTTCACCGTTTCTAAAAGTTACGTCTGATTAGTCCCATTTGTCCCATTTGTCCAACATCCAGTCTGTTTTGTTTGACGCTGAAGAAAAAGACCGTTTTCCTGCTTGCACAGACTTTAGGGAGCTGCATGTGCTCAGGTTGATCCGCCCGTCTTACAGAGGCGTGAAAGTCCAACAAGGTGTTTCCAGCGACGTCCAGTGATGGCTCGAGGACCTAAATCAGCTGAAGAAGCTGAACCCACCTTTGAGAAAACCCTCCACCAATTTGGTTGGCTTCCTGATCCAGTAGACTGCACATCAGCTAGGCCAACGTCACCTTGAGCGGTAAGAAACTTGGACATGGCCTTGAAGATTTATGTCTCGCTTTAATTTTAGTGGCAAACACCGAAAAGAAAACACTGAATAAAACAGACACGTGTCACGCTGTCACTTGGTTGTACCGTTCAAAGCTTGGAACGCCGTTTTATAAACTCGTCATCGTTGCTGTTCTGACTGCCTCCTGATGATTGTGGATCCTTCAGGGACCATTGACGACTTTTCCACAGTCTGCCCAGACGGTGGTCGTTGGACGTCTAGGTTGATCCGGATCAAAACACTTTCATGACTTTTTGATCAGCAGATTGTATAAATTATTTTACCGAAGCTACAGTTTGTATATTTTCATCAGCTACAACACTAAATGTACATTTTGGGCCAAACTAACAACATTCTGTCCAACTATACTCGTAGTGTTTATTTGAACAGAGCACGAGTCTTGAATCCACCTTTTCACTGTAGATTGTTACTTTGTCGTACTGTCATGAAAGTTGTGTATCTGTTAGCAAAATATCTCATGGACCACAGGAAATATTCACTGGATGTACATCTGATTAACGCTTGAAGTCAGTGCAGTTCAAGATGGCTGCCGCAGCTTCAGTAACCGATCTTAAACACAAAATCAGATTTGATTATCTTTTGTTGTCACTGCACTGAATAAAACAATACGATTAGCACCATCATCTAGTCTTGAAAAAACGGTCCCGAAGAAGAAGAATGAAATCTTACCAATAAATAAGGAATAGAAAAATACATAAAACATATGATTTAAGACTATAAGACCTTACAAAATTAAAATTATACAAATTAAAATCACAGAGGTGCCTAGAGCGTTTGCACAGTCCAGTCTATTTGTTAAGGTTCTCGGCCGGTCTGAGGGGGGAGTGGAGACCAGAGACTGTCCCAGGTGGGTTTGGTCTCTGAAGGTCTTCCTCGAAAATATGTCTTTGAATGACGTCTAATCTGGGAAGAGGAGATCTGATAATCTGGACTTCAAGCTTGAATACCACACTGTACAGCAGTATGTGAGGGTGGACTCTATGGTGCAGTGATAGATGTTTGTTTTGAGGCTGCAGCACCGAGGGGTCCCCAGACCAGAGCCTCGGTTGGGCCTTTTTTATGAGGTGGGAAACCATCAGGCTCTAAATTAGGTCTCCTGTGATGTGGATCCCTATAAACTTGAAACTACTTCATTAGTGCTCAGTCCCAGACGGTTTGTTCACTTTTTCCTAAACTTGATGTCCATGTCCTTATTTCGTGTTCAGGAGGATCCAGTTGTCTTTGCACCATGCTACCAATGTGTGAACTTCCATTTTGTAGGCCACCTCATTGTTGCTTGTAATCAGCCCCTTAAGGGTTGTGTCATCTGCAAACTCTAACAGAGCATTGAAACTATAAGTGGCAATTATGAAAAGGGTTGAGCACACAGCCTTGAGGGACACCTGCATAGAAATTAATGGAAGAGGAAGTGAGAGGGCCGAGATGGCTTCCACAACGAAACAAATGGCAAAATCAGCTGGATTTATATTTGGATTAAATTGTACATAACTGGACTTGAACAGTTTTGTTCTGAACAGAGTTTATCTTATTTGCACCTTTAGCTGAAATAATGTGATTAATTGAAAAGAATGAACTGAAGTGTTTTAATTGTACATGCTTCCCCATTTCCTCTAAATGTAATGCCAAATTTTAAAGGGTTGCCAGATTTTCATCTTGTGAAAGTCACAAAATGTCTGTAATCTTTATACTTTATTAAGTTTTGAATAATTTTGAAGCTTTGCTTTTTAATTCAGGACAATATGCTGATAAAATTAAACTTCTTGTGTGTTTGAATTGTAAATAAAAGCAAATTAATTTGTGTACTTTACATTGTGTGTAACAAACACAACGTGCGTTTGATTCTTGAACACAACTAATTACTTTGTGTTTTTGTAAACTGTACAAAAAATGCTTTTGTTCAGGATCGTAACGAAGACGAGCGGGAAGCTTCTGCTTTCTAGGAGAAGGTGCTTTTATTGTGAAATCTGCTACACGTTGGACAGGTTCTGTTCTCAACCACGAGTTTGTTTCGCTCCAAAACATGAATTTAACTGGACACTGCCTTTTAAACACCGTAAACTTGTCGTACTCTGTATTTTTGTATGATGCACACCGTAAAACAAAATGACGTCCGGTTAAATAAATGATGTTTGATGACGGTGTTTTGTTGATCGATGTGGAAACTGAAACAAAGCGGATGAACTTTTAATGTGAAAACGTGCAGCGATGGATATTTAGTGTTTGCAGCTCAGCAACGTGTGAGCAAAGATCCATGGTCTCTGAAAAATACAAACCTGAGGGGAAATGTTGAGTCTAAGTCTGAGAGAAGTCCTGTTGTGAAATGTCCCTGCAGCTGAAGACCAGGTCACAGGTTGGACAGGTGACTGCTGC